TAAAAGTTCATATATTTGCAGGATGGTAAGACCTTACCCAATGGACCTTTATTTCTCCTGACAGATTTATTGAGAATTGAGACATTTTTAATGTGAAAGCAGTTTAATTGAATAGGTATTGCCATGTTCAAGTAAATAAACTCTTGATCATCATGAATTTAAATCAGTTGTGTGTTTATTCTGTATAAGCAAAGGATGCCATTTATCAACTGTGTGGCCCAAAATTAGGTAGGGGTGATGTAATTCACATGAATATTTAAATGCTCAATCATAATCCTTGGCATTAGAGAGTCTTAATTTTTTTTACTTTAACTTGTTTGTATAGCTACTTGACAAGTTCCAAATTTAGTTTATGCATGAGTTAAAAATAAGAAGTTAGAGGAATTATGATAAAGGTTCTGCAAAGTAACATATGGATAAATTAATTTTAGTTTATGATAAAGGTTCTTCTTTATATCTCTTTTAAAAGAGCTTATAAAGAAGCTAATCCAAGAGGCTCCTGGTACTCAATTAGTCACCAAAACACAGATTTGATGAAATGAATTCTAAATAGATCAAAACAGTGCAAAAGTTGATTAGATGGGGAAAAAGGATTTTTGTCCACCCCTAGACTAACACATAATAAATCTATATTTTATTTGATTATCTTGGATCTTAAATTCTTTGTCTGGATCATTGTACATATTACTGTGAGAAAAGGGTCAAAACGAAATAAGTGAAGTTTTTTAACAGTGAAATAAAGTACCTTTTCATTATTTTTAATTGTAGTCGAAGAAAATATCTTCGTCTTTGGTAATTATAATTATAAAAAGGAAAAAAAATACAACTTAACATAGTGTCATTTTAGTGTGAATAGCATGGGACATTACTGTCTCACATCTTTATATCCATAATTAAAAAGTAAAGTGGTTCTACACTTTCTATGTTTTCTTTAGTTTGATCCTAGAAATATTTTTTTAAATTCCCATTGCCTTATCATCATCCTAGGATTTCTAATTAAAGTTCCNTCCTAGGATTTCTAATTAAAGTTCCATGTTGATGTATTGATATACTGCAAATTTTATGAAGTGTAAGTATCCTTTTTCAAATTAGTTTTAGTTTAATTTCAATTGGAGGCATGTGTTTCATTGTAAATCTCAATATAAATTTTTTTATTATTTTGGAAAAATTTAATTGAAGTATGTCGTGTTTTATTTCTTCTAGCTTCATTGGACGCCTTGTACCCCATTCAAAATGTGCTGCCATCTTTTGTGGGTTATAGGTCTACAATCATTATGTCTCAATTTTAAAATTTAGCTACAGAAAATACAGTAACAGACCAATTTTAATAGTACTTTTCTCTTTTCAGGATTGTAATTGAGATGCTTGAAGTGAAAATTAGAGAATTTGTGTGCAATTTCAACACTGTATTGGAAGAGATATCATTATCCAAACAAAATCTTTCCACGCCTCTTGATTGTATGAAAAATCGTAAATTTGATATTGTAAGTGTTCAATAATTCATTAATAGGTTTGAGTATATTTTGTTAAGTTGTTTATGTAATATATCTATTTAAATGTAAAATGTTTGGTATGGTGTTGAATGAAAACTATTGTGATGGATAGTTGTGTTTATATATATTATAGGTTTGTATTGTGGTATATGCAGTTGGCAACTGTACACATTTCCAGATATTGTTTTCAAGTTGATGTTAACTGGCTCTAGTTTCTGGGAAAGTATTATTTTCTATTTTTAATCATGTTGACAAGTGCTAACTGTGGAGTGCTGTTTCCTGATTTCTCGGCCTTAAAAAATATCAAAATTTTTCTTAACCAAGCAACCATGCCATTCTGGTTTTGTCTTTGGTATGAGCCCACAGGATTTGATTGAAATACAGAATAAGGATTATTTTTGACATAAGCCCCACCAAGAGTTCCAAATAAATACAAAATTATGAAATGTTGGGTTGAAGCTTCTTCAATTATCAAAGATTGAAAGACGTTATTTTGTGATTGCAGGGTTTAGTGATAGAGAGAATCCAAGATTCAATATCAGAAGAGGATAAGAGGTTGATCTATCTTGGAGATGGAAGTGGAGACTATTGTCCAAGTTTGAGGTTGAAAGAGAAGGACTTTATGATGCCAAGGAAGAACTTTCCATTGTGGGATCTGATATGCAGAGATCCTTCACTTCTTAAGGCTGAGTTTCATGGTTGAAGACTATTCTCCCTTCATTTCCTCTTATTGCAAGCTTCAGACTCTGCCAGTCACTGCTCATGAGGCTTTGCCCAAAGCTCTACCAGTTCGACCATAGATTCATGGTTTTGTAACTTTTGCAATGGACCAAAGTAGAATATAACATGACTAATTTTTGTCTCAATAGTATAATAGTATATATTGCATAGTCAGTTACCTCTGCCTTGATTTCTGTAATATCCGATGACAATCTAGTTACAATGAGGTAGGACCATCCAGTTGTAAACATCACGTTTTAATAAAAATTGAGAAATATTTGGTATTATTTTTTATAATTTGACAGTTTTATTTGATTTTTATCAGAATATGAAACTATTAGTTATTGGGTGTAGATATGAGATCATCTAATTTTTTTTTTTATAAAACCATAAGTTACATACGGATTTTTCCGTATATAATTTATATACGGATTTTACATACGGATTGTTTCGTATATAATTTATATACAGATTTTACATACGGATTTTTCCGTATATAATTACATACGGAAAAATCTGTATATAAATTATATACGGATATATCCGTATATAATTTAGCTACGATAGTTTTATATACGAATTTTTGTCCGTATATAAGTCGTATGTAACCAAGTGTTATATACGGATTTTGGGTCTTATATACGGATTTTGTCTGTATGTAATTCAATTTTTTCTTGTAGTGACTTATTATTATTATTTTTCTAGTTTGTGAGGTTTCGATTTTCATTAGACCTTATTGGCTTATGGTTTTCTAGCCTAGCGTTTTTCTATCCTAAATTGGGGTTTTCTAACTTGGCATTTTTCTGTAGTGGTTTTCTAATTCAAGGTTGATTTTCTAACCTAGGATGTTCTATCTTAGTGTTTGATGTATGTTTTCTATCTTAAGGTTGGTTTTCTAACTTAGGGCTTATTATCCTAATGTTTGGTGTTTGTTTTCTTCATTTTCTAACTTATTAGTTATGCTTCGTGAGTTTCTAGTTTAGGGTTAGTTCTCTATACACAGAGACTTCTTCGTTTCATGTTATTTAGTTAAGCTTCAAAACCAACATTTCTATTTGATGAGCTTGTCGTATCATGACAAAGGCTATTATGAGAAAAAGCTTTGAACCCTACAAAGTAGACAAAAGTCAAACATCGCATCAAAAGGCTACCTGCTCTCTTGAAGTCAACTTTATGTCTAATGGTCATCTTTTACAAGAAGATATATATAGAAGAAAGCTTGAATAGATTACGTTGTTGATAATAGTGCAAGAATGATAACATAAGAAGAATAGCAACGTAAAAAGATGATAGAAAGATAAGCTTTCAACGCTCATATATGGTCTGAAGCTCAATATCTTGTTAGAGATAAATCTTAGAAAACACATAATACTTCATATTGTTTATATCCTCTCTTTGAGAGTTATCACCTATATCTGTGGTTTTAACATTGTTTGTGTTGTAAATTCTGAAGAGAATTAAAACACTTATCTAGAAGTGTTGTCTAGGGTGAAACTAGAAGTGGTATGAATACTTGTTATGAACCAAGAGTGGTTAAACTCAGTCTAGTCAGGATTTACTAAGGAACCAAGAGTGGTTAAAATACTTGTTGTCAACCAAGAGTTGAGAGAATACTCGGTGAGATCGTGGAGTGGAAAAACTAGTGTAATCTTGGAAAAGATTAGTGGAACCCCTTAAGAGTTATTAAGGGAGAACTAGACGTAGCTCAAGTTGAGTGAACCAATATAAAAATTTATGGTTTATTGCTTTGCTATTCAAAATGTTTTCCATTTACTTTTCAAATAAAAACCAATATTTGAATATCTTATAATTCATATACATTCTCTTTACAAGTAATTAGACGGTTCATTACAAAAGAGTTTCGAAAATCACTATTCACCCTCCCTCCCTCTAATGTTTTTCTTGTGATTTCAATTGGCATCAAAGCTTACCTTAAGGGTGAGTTCCTAACAGAACTTGAGTAAAACATTTAGTGCTAGGCGCTATTTATAGGGGTTAGACAGTCTGCAGATAGTGTTGAACACTTAAGGATCTTTAGAAGAGTTTAGAAAGCCTTTAAAAGGATAACAAGAAAGAATACTTGTTTTTATACTTGTTAACTCCAACCTAAGCTACGCCTAGTTTTCCCTTAAGAACTATTAAGGGATTTCACTAATCTTTAAAGAGATTACAAAAGAGTTTAACCACTTCTGGTTTAAAACAAGTATTGCCACTCCTAGTTTCAAATAGTCCAACTAACTATATCGTTTAACTCTACTAAGTTAAACAAACAAGTATTTTAAATCACTATTGATTGTTCAAAAGTAACAAAGTGTTTTTATGGAAACAAGTACAGATAACGACTCTCTTAGAGAGGATATATTTGCAATACAAAGATTATCTACGACACTTGTAAGACAAAGATTTTTCTTTTTCAAAGAAAGCTTAGACGACGCAAGTGTAAGAGAAAATTGACAGCTTAAGAGTATCACTAATATTTTTTTTTTGTTTCTTCTCTTTATGTGATGCTCTTTATATAGACTATTTTGAAAAAGATACATTACTTAAAAGCATTGAATTTTATGTAGGTGTCTCACCTTTTGATACAAAGTCAATTGTTATGTTGTTTTTCCATAGGCCACTGTGTTGCTTGTACGAATATGTAATACATAAGGCATTAAAGAAACATTCTCATAATGTCTTCCTATATCTTAACATTATTTTGACAATGCAAAACTTTTGAATAAAGCTTTACCATTTATGATTTGTACAAATAAAGAGAAAACAACACAACAAACAAAAAAGTACTATTTAAACATGCATTTATGCGTTAGACGTTCATTAGCATTAGCTTGATACGTGTACCATATAGCGTTTATGCGTAGTCTGTTTAGAGTAACGTATGCGTTTAGGATTTGTTTACACATGTATAACTATGTTTATCCTAGACGGTTCTTTTTAATAGACGTTATTTCGTTAGACACTATTATTAAACTTCAAAATAAGGATTGCTAGATGATCTTGTCTTAACAGTACGTCTATTATTTTGGACTTTTTTGTCTGAAAAAGGCTCGACATTATAACAGGGTATATTTTTAGCATAAAGATGAAGTATAGAAGTTTTGATGATGTCCAAAATTAAGTCTCAAGAGCTCTTGTTGCAAGAAGATCTTCATGAAGACATGTTTTATGTTAAAGCTTTTGTAATTTAGTAGATTTTGTATAGGTTATGGTTTATCTTTGATTTTATGTATTGTTTTCCTTAGGTTGCGTTAAAACTCGTTTTGAATCAGAAAACCTCATTTTATACTAAAGATAATCGATTATCAAATTATAATAAACGATTATCAATAATCAATTATGATTTCTCATAATCAATTATCACGAGCAATTACGAGAACTTTTAAGCAAGCTTTTTACCGTTGTGCATTCATTAAATACATAATTAATTACCATAAGTGGATAATTGATTATCAACCGTTAATTAGTTGACAATGGATTTTTTGAGGTATCCTTGAGTGAGATTTCTATAAATTATATTGAGACTATCATTCTAAAATACAACATACGAAATAAGTGTATTTTGGAAATTCTTATCTGTAGTGTGCGGTCATAAGTGTTCTAGGGTTTGTGTGACCTGTGTTGTGGCTTTGAGAACTTGGCATGCTGGCATAAAGCAAGAACTTTTTATCTGCAGTGTGTGGTGATAAGTGTTCTAGGGTTTGTGTGAGCTGTGTTGTGGCTTTGAGAACTTGGTGTGTTGGCATAGAGCGAGAACTTTCATTAGGAGTATAATTGAGTGTTGTTGTTGTTGCTGAGTTGAAGTTCTATCATCCTTGGTGAAGATTCAAAGGAGGTGATGGCAACCCCTTTAGGGACTTCCCATCCAAAGAAGTATCAACTTCAATCTAAGACCAAGAAAGGGAAGTTGAATAAAGGACTTAATCTTTTATTTCCAAAGTCTTAGCATGCTCTCTTTAACTAGTTCCATTATTTTGTAGGAGAATAAAAGATGGAAGGATCCTAAGAAGTTGTCAAGCAAAGAGGAAACAAAGGGAAGCCAAGAGGAGTGCAATTGCTGAATGGAAAAGCTACCAACGTGCATCAATATTTGTGGCTGCCATCTCATATGTTGCACATTTAAAATACCTTGCTTACAACTACCATTTATCACATGGAACACACCAACCAACTTATTCACATTTCAACACATGCTAGCTAATCTTTCCAGCACATTTTAAATGTAATTTGCATAGATTTTCTACATAGATCATAGCTCTTCTTCAACTATAAAAGAGAGCTTGATCTCTTGTAAAAACAACTTGAATTGATATAGTGAAATGTTGTTGGATTGTTTCCAGCCACTACTTCTTCAAGTTCTTTGTCTTGTGCCACTTTAGCACGTTATCCTCTAGCTCCCTTCCCCTTTGGAAGGTCGTCTGAGTTAGAACCATTGCATACACACCTCCAAAATCGCACCAAACATTTCATCAAACACCTTCCGTGCACCTCCAACTACATCTGCGTTTTCCAATTCCGCTGCCACCTCTAGTCCGAGAAGCTGCTCATTCTTGAAGAGTGAAGCTTCTTCTATCAGGAGGTGTTCATCCTTGGTGAAGATTCAAAGGAGATGGTCTTCATGAAGCATTCGAAGGAGGTGTTTATCCCTTGTACGTTACAGGGGAAGTGAGTTTCATCTCTTGGGATAACAAGAGAGTTGTTCTAACCTTCAACTTGTTTATTTTCTTTGTGATTGTAACAGATTGTTGGTTTGTGCTACTGAAGCATTAATTCCCAATTGAGATTAACAACTGGATGTACAATCTATTGATCCGAACCAGGATAAAAATTACCTATGTAATTTTCTCTCTTCCTTACACTTTTAGTATGTTTAAATTGTTTTAAGGAATTTGTATTTACAAGAAAATTATTAAAAGAACGATTTGCAATAAGAAACCAATTCACCCCCTCTTGGTTTGTTGAACGCGTTAACCATTCCACTACATCGATCTGACAATTGGTATCAGAGCTTGCTTTGATAGTAATTCAAAATGACGGGGCAACATCAAACCTTTGCTTAGAGTGCCTCTATCAATAGACCTTCATTGTTTACTGGAGAAAACTATGCTTTTTGGAAAATGAGAATGCAAATTTTCATGGAATTTATTGATAGTGAGATTTGGGAAACTATCACAAATGGTCCTTTGGTTCCGATTGTTTTTATTAACAATCTGCACTAATCCAAACCGCAAGAAAGATGGAATGCTGATAATAGAAGAAGATCCCAACAGGACGTAAGGGCTCGTAA